AATTTCAAATCCATATTTAAGTGTATTGACATTAATCACAAGGAATTACTATTGTCTACGAAAAAAATAGATGCTGTATTTTTGTACACAGAATATTCATTCAGTTCATCCAAGCAGATTTAAGATTTAACCAATATATAAAAAATCAATAGTAAAAAAATTAAAAAGATACATTCGTCAATAACCATCTGTTTTACCAATGCTTTAACTGCATGTATAATAAAAAAAAATTTCTAAATTTTATTGACGTCGAACAGCCATTACATATATCAAAAACTTCAAAATTAATAATTCATAAATTTTCGATTTTTGTATACGTACTAAATACACTGGAAAATGGTCTAAAAATTGAAAATTCCAGTAGTTTTTTTTTATGACTTGACGAAAAGTAAATTACGTCTCATTTTTCTAAATAGTTTATGAGTTGTTAAAAATATATCTCTGGGAAGTCAGAAAAACAAATTATTCTATAAGAAAGTTTTAATGATACAAACTTTTTTGGAATGAATTACTTTTTATAAATAGATCAACCAAATAAGTTATAATAATAAAGAATTGGCTACTTAAGTTTCAAAATTATAAGATGAAACGTGTTTAACAAACAGATGCTTACATTTTATATAAGTTGGTTTTTAAAGTACACAGCTATATGTATTATACCTTATTTATTCGTGAAAAATTGTAAAACATATTTTTCGGATCATTCTTCACCATTGCTAACAGAATCAACTTCTGACTTAAACCAACTACTATCTTCGTCCACGCTATTGTCTGAAATGTTCTCACGATTTCTTTCTTCTTTAGTGATATTCACAAACTTATTATTCATTACATATCTGCAAGAAAAATGTACAAAAATATACACATTTTGTATGTATTTTTCTATTTAAAGCATGTTTTTTCAATCGTATTTGATACTTTAATCACTTGTGTCTCTTATAGCAAATTGCAAGATCTATCTTATTAAATGTGGCGTCAGATTAACGATAATGTCTGTTGGCTAAAACTGCCTTATCACCAAACTTCATACTTTTTTTATTAAGTAAGAAATGTATGTTATGTGAATGTTAGATTGCGTTGTATAAAAGTTTACAGTATTTACTTCATAATCCTTTCACAATGTATGTCCAACAATCATTGATAGCAAGGCAATATAAATAAATGATGTAGTTGCATATGGGCATGATAAAGATTATTCAAATTATAAATACTGTTCCAGATACTAATGACGATGCTTTTGTAGGTGATTATATATTGTTCCATAAATTTTAATAGGAAAATAAATTATTAGAGCAACTTATCAAAAACTCTCATTGAACATAAATTTGTTGATGTCATAATGATAATAAAGAAGTATATTTTCCAGCCATACTTACTTATTTTTTAAGTAATTTTTAGCATCTTTGCTCAATGGTTTGGTCTTATGCTGCTTGATACGATCACTTATGTAGTACAAAGATAATTTGGGGTCACTCATACTTAGTGCTCTATTAAATGTATCCTGCAGCTTCGCCTTTCAGCTATTTTATCTAGCGTGTAATATAAAGTTTTTTCGATAAATTTTGTGTCATCCTTTCTGGAAATCTTCAGAAAAATAAAGTAATGGCAAAGGTAGTTTTTTTGCAACTTCACAGCTGTGCATTAATAACTTATGAACACTTGGGCTCATACGAACTTATTTATATTTATGGTTGTGTAATTTGTATGTATGTTGGCACAGCTTACTTAACTTCTCTAGATCCACTTCATTTTTCGAATCAAACAACGATAAAGTTAGTGTAATATTTTTAACTAATTGTTCATCTATCTCTAGTGACTTTGGAAAATTCTTTGGGTCATCGAAACATGTTCGTGCTGAATTCCCAGTATTAATGGTTCTAGAACTTTGCTTCACTTGATCAACGCGAACACCAAAGCGTGTGTATATCCGATCTGGAATCACCTTCTTACTTTTTAAAAATTCTTTTGCAAAAAAGCAATTATTAAAATACAGAAATTTATGTCAATGGAATTATTTATCATTTTTTTCTATGTACGTATGTCTGATACTTGAATATTTAATTTTTATACTGAAAAGAATTGTAAGCCAGCCATACAACAATTAAACAAAATCATACTTTTATATCGTATTGCGATTATAGCTAAGTAGAATTATGGAATGTAATTAGTTTTATGTATTTTCTAGCCAATTCACAAGAATGAAGATGAATACTATTTACAAATTTCCATAGTACAGTTTAATGACTGTTTGTGTTTGTGTTTGTGTTAATGAAGTTTCATTTTTTTATTACCGACAGCACAGAGAAAAAATAAATTGATTAAATATAATATACCATGGCATGATATCTCGTTCTTCCATTTCAGACAAAAAACTACGACTTGACTTAAAAAAGGTGTTTTCACTTATATTCAATCCATGTAAATTTGTTATAAGCCATAGTAATATGAAACAATTTTTGTATCCTCCTTTTAATTCAAAGAGTAACTTTAGTGTAGTGAACAATGACCGTTGTCAAAACAAATTTAGTTTTAAAATGGTTTCTCTCATTTATCTAATAATACATTCGTACCTCAAGGTTCACCTTGGAAACCATTCTGTTTTTTCATGAAAAAAACTTTTAATGAAATCTTCCAAGTGTGCTATCAGATAATGCTTTGGGTAGTTGTACTAAATTGAATTTTAATAAAATATTTTTTTTAATCTCACACCCAATAGTTTGATTTTTTTAACAACCGTACTATGCACACAAAATGCCGATTCTAACAATATATACCGTACAACTATACAAACCTTTATTAGAAGATCTAACATCCCACGTAGTTGTTGTTATCATACTTCTGTAGGCTATATGTACTAAATGTTTAACACACTTGATCTTACAATGCAGCAAGCCGATTCCGTACTCCGATGCTGCGATATTTGGTATAAACTTATTTGTTCTATCTCCAAACTGATGGCTTGGTCACAAAAAAATGGGACATCTGCTTGTTACTGGATTTCCAAAGATTGCATTAAGGCATTTTCCATCAAACATTGTCAAAAATACTTCAAACTTTGCTGAGACCTTTTTCTTGTTCAATATAGTAAAGAAGTGTGTTTAAAGATTTGAAATTTCGTTTTTTAATCTTTGAAATTCTTTGGTAATTGTCTCTTGAACGTTGAATTTTTTTGTAGCTACATGACATTTCATGTTACGATTTTTTAAGTCGTTAGCTCACTGCTACTACAAAATGCGTACAGACTTAACTTTTGTTTGGTTTTTCTTTTTTTTTTTTTTTTTAAAGAATTATAAATCTCATTTACCCGTAGATATTTAAATATAAGCCCAAAATAACGTACAAGTGGTTTGAGTAACTTATGAGTAATTAATCTGTCATGAAGTATACTACATGAAGCCATCAGTATTAATTGATCAACAAACAATTTCTTAATCTTATAATATTAAGATATACTGAATAAAAAGTATATAGAATAAAAATGAATCTTACCACTGGAACCACAGTCTAGCTTTAGAAGTAGTATATTTGTTACAAATAATGACAATTTGCTGTTGTATATTTCATCTTTAGGGTTATCGCACTTCTGATGTGCGTTAGTATAATTAACAGAGCTGTCAAATCTTCCGGTTACAAATAGCACTTATTTGTCCAGATCCTTTGCCTCACAATCAAGTGCAACAACCTCACACAAACGCTTAATAGTCTTATTGAGCAAACTTTGCAAAGAAACTACAGCTTGATTCTCAGACACAGCGCTATCTTCAGGCAAACATTTAAGCATCTCTTTACGGATTTCAACGTACGGCGGATAAATGGAAACGTTTCGTGATGTTGTATCTTAACGTAAATTTTTATATTTTTTTTTACTGTAATCATTCTCAAGGTATAATGCTAAGGGAGATTCATTTGAATGTTTAACAAGAAAATTTGATGAAATTCTATTACTTAGGCCAACTGTTTCTTGCAAGTTACTCCGCTTTTCACATAATTGTAAAGATAGTTTCAATAAATCAATATCACTCTCTGCCAGTTTAATAATGTCATGGGTTTGCTCATATAAAACTGTTTAAGAGGCATTAGATACTGCAATACGTTTTCTGCCACCTTTGATGCTATGCAGCCTTTTCAATTTTTTTGGTCAACCACTTTGTACTCCTGAAATCCCTTTTTTCTTTTTCTTGGAGTCCTGGGCATTCTATAATCTTAAACACATTAAAAATACAGTTGTAAAAAATACAAAAGTCTTGACGGAAAAAATTATTCGTAACATTGTAAATTCAATTATTTTTCAACAAAATATGTGTTTTTTTAACAAAACTCATGTTTTATCCATTGCCGACCCAAGACTCAAATTATTATCAGTGCTCTCATTAGTCAATTAAAAAACGATCGGTATAGAATTATATATGCCTTTAGCAATGATGCCTCTCTGTACGCAATGGTCTAGCCTCAAAAGTTGTCCTTGTCTAAGCCAACGTGTATCAATGTATATTTTGTCTTATTTTTATGTGAGTCGATTATTCTGATGTTACCCATGTGGGCCCAGACATAAAGGTAAAAAGTGTATCTATATAAAAAAAAATTCTAAGAATTAAAGAGAAGGTTTCTGGGGACTATGTTAAAGCAAGTGGTGAGTAGTAGGCAATCATAATTGAGCAACAGTAACGATATCACCAGATGACTTCGTGTCAGAAAAATATCAGACCTGTGCGAAAATGTTATTCACATTAAGAGACTCCACAAACAAGTGTATATTATATGTACACCATTAAAGTGTCAAGGAGTGCACTGGATAGCCAACTAATTTGAGAACTTTTTTTTAACCTTGTCGAGGAATCAGCACAATCCGAATGATTCTAACGTGACTATGTTAGTGTTTAACTAAAAAAAAGCTCTCCTTGTTTTGCCTTTTGTCACGCAGAATTACATGCACACAGTAGAAAATTTACTTACTTATAATTAAAATTAACTTGAAATTAACTTCTTGTACGTCCAATCAGAGTGGATATACGAATTTTGAAATCAACGTAAGGATGAAGGTGCTTTGGAGGTCAGAAAGGACAATCCCACTCTCATTTCTAGCCTTGTAAATGTAAAAGCCATTATACACTTTTAAAGTCTGCATACTACTACGGCCTGTACACAGGGATGGCAATGCACTTTGGAAAAGTATACTACAACAACACTTACACCCGATGGTGTACTTACCTAGGTACGTACGCTTTCAAACAACGTGTACTTGCTAGATCTGTGTTTACACATCATACAAACCATGAACAAGCATGTATACTTAGATATATATATATATATATGTGATAGACTGGTTATGACCACTTTTTATGGATAGGCTTGAAAATGCTATAGATGATTATAGATACGATTAGCAAACCTATCTATAAGGTTAAGACCGTATAAAAATTGTTTTTGGCAGTTTGGGACAGTAGGGACAACTAGAGGGTTATGGCAATGTGTCGTAACTGGTTCCGAGAGTCTTATAACTATACTTATATGTCAAACTTTCCTGCTTTTAACGCATTCATGGTGATTATACAAAAAGAAGTATTTTAGGTGTTAAAAAATTTTTTTTTCAATTTTGCTTATTACGTGTTCAGATAATGTTAACTATAAATGTGAACTCAATAAATCTGAACAAATTTTCTTTGTTTT